CGCTCATTGTTTATTGAAGTGTGGAATAAGTTATTTTAAATAAATAAAACTAAACTGGATTTGATGTTGTTGCTGCTGTTGACTGTACGCTCAAAATTCAAGTGCACAAATACAAAAGCTAGCAATTTGAAAAGTTGAACAAATTGTGAGCTGTGCCCTTCAAGATGGTGCAGCCGTTGTGATCACAAAACGAAGACAGAGACGAAGAAATGAAAACAAACTGCTTCACTTGGAGATAAATTGTGTGCAAAGAAAGCAAATAAAAATGACGAATCGACTGATTCAATAGAGGGAAATGTTTACCGTATTGATATTTTTCACTTTGTGCTTATTTCTTATTTCAAAACTGGAACTGTTTTGAGATGTTGCAAGCGCGCTCGCACACCCGTTTTGTCTCGCTCTTCTGTCTCTTCATCAATTCATCTGTACGGAATGAATGTTGTTGATGATGAAAATAAAAACGAATTTATTCCTCTTTTTTTCTCATTCTTCCACATCTATGAGTTTCGCGTAAATCTTGAGAGCGTTCTCTCTGCAACATTATTGCAGTGCGCGTGGTAATTCAAGTTGATACTTTGCCCAAGCAAATTCCGATTTTATCGTTTCTTTTGTTGCAGGGAATTCATTCAAAAATTTGTGTACAATCCATCAATTGCGATGCTGACTGTTTGCTCTGCGTCGTCATTGCCTTTGATGAGCGCTTCTGTTTCTTTTCAGTTTGTTTTGTTTTTCCACTCACTCGCTGTCGTCTCTCTCCTCCCCTTTCTCTCTCTTCCTTCCTCTGCTGCTTCTCTCAGTCGAAAGAAAACACAACAACATACATAATAAATGTATTATCACACCACCCGAAAAGGTAAACATAACTGCGAAATTTCTGTGCTTTCTTTATGATTTTCTCTCGCTCTCTCGTTTATTTTTACATCTTCGTTTTGCCCATGCTCTTTATTATTATTATTATTCCACTTGCCATCGTGTATTGCGAGCACAATGTGCTTTGGCGATGTTTTCTCTGGCATTTGCAAAGTTCGCGTTTTGCTTTGGCCGTTTGTGTCTCAAATGATTGAAAATGCTTAAGTAAATTGCAATGTATTCGCTAGTTGCAGTTGTAAACAGAACACACAAAATAGAGCAAAGAAAAGTCCGGTTGTTGAGATTGCCGCAGTGGTGCGATTGCAGCACCACCAAATGAAAAGTGCTGTGCGATACGCAGAAAAATAAAAAGGAATCGAGGAAAATGGAAAGAATGCACCACCACCACCACCGTCACCGTCGACGTCGTTGCCATCAGCACCTCGGCATCGGGAACGTCGATTGCAAAGTTTTCTTCGTCAACATTCGAGAGGTCCTCTTTCCACCATCAAAACTACCACCACCCGCGCTAAGGACTTATCATAATTTCGCTCGGTTTACTTGTGCCAGAAGTTAAGGACGGTGAATTACTCTCTTTCTCTTTGTCTCTGTGGCACTGATTGTTGTTGCTTTTGACGACAACGATGACGACGCAAGGGCTGAGATACAGAGACTACGACGATGACTTGCTATACGCCTGATTTTTCCATCATCAGTTATGATTATTGCGCATATATATTCGCTACAGAATCGAACACACACACACAGAGAGAGAGAGAGAGAACTAAAAGCAAGTTTCAGCTAAAAAAGGAATTTCTTTTTACTTATCGCTGCACAGTACATCCACGAATGTGCGAGATGCAATGGAATATTTTTGTTTGTTGAACCAAAGCTGTTAAAACTTGGAAAGGAGGGGGAGTGATGCTGTTGAAAATACACTCGCTATGAAGCAACCAATTCAGCGAAGTGTAGAAAGCCGTTCGACCACGGCTAGAAAGTTTCATGAAAAATCCCTGAAATTGCGACGCAAACGCAACGAATATGACGCCTTGAAAGAAGTATAATTTCATCAATTTTATTTTATTTTATTTCAGTTCTTTATTTTTGAGTTTGTATGCGTTTAATAGCAGGGAGAGCTGCGAAAAGTTTGTCTATCGTTTTTTTCCCTGTTCTTGCGTTAAATATATAAATCGATAAGTTGAGTATTAAGATGAACAGAGTTTGGAAAAAAAATGAGTGAAAGAACGTACAGAAATGTTTCAATATCAAAAAATTAAATTGATCGTCGTAGTATTAGCTCGGCTTGGTGTAGGCGGCATCGGCAGCGGGGATGGTGTGATGGAACATTGCCCGAATGGAAATTGGAATAGCGGACTCCGAGCATTTAACTGCGACAACTAAATGTGAGAATGGCAAAAGGGAAGGCGATCCAAATGTAACGTCAAACAACGTTGAATGAGAATCAATGCCAACGTCAAACTGGAATCACTGAGTTTAAGTGACCGAATAAAAAAAAGTACGCATATTTTGTGTGTCAGTCCGCGTAAAAGCAAAAAGAGAAGAGGAAAAAGGGCGACGGAGGAGGAACACGAAAAAAAATTATAAATTTTGGTACGAAGTTTTTATGAGTCCCATAGGTTTTCGGCAAAGGAATTTTTGTGTGCGCTTTATATCACTCGAAACCGAAGTTTGTTCGGGCCATGAGTATGGGTGCGTTATGCTTTTTTTTCTGTTCGTTTGTATGAGCGCGAGAGCGTCAGCGTGCAAAAGTATACGTGTGCATAAAATTGGAAACGAATAATTCGCGACAGTGCGACCGCGTCAGTGTGATTTGAACGAAAAGCTAAACTACATGCCCAAGAGAATAGGCATGCAAAATGACGACTATGACAAATTTGACGATGAACGATGCGAGAGAAGTGGAAATACATAATCACAGTACATAATAATAAAAATCCGAAAAGTTCAACGTAATGGTAGCAAGTTTTTAAGAAGACGCGCGAACGGCAAGAGAGAAGAAATTTATGAGCGCACGTCTTTCGTGCTATTGTTGTTGTTGTTTTCGTCGTCGTTGTCGCCAAACGTCCTTGTTCTCTCGTCGTCAACGACGAGATCTCGAACCAATATTTTGACAAACGTTTTGCAAAACTTCCTAATGCGTATTGCGTATTCATATTTCGGATCGCCACTTTCTCACACTCCCAGCGAGAACAAAACTTTTTCCTCGGAAAAAGGAAAAAGAAAAATCGCCTGCCACTTTTCCGTTAGATGACATTAAAAATATTGATAATTGCCCGAGATATTTCATTTGTCACAATGTATATTTATGACTATCGCAGTTAAGAGTGAACGTAGATTTTTCCATAATTTCCAATGGATACACCAAATGTTTCACTTAATTTAAGTCCCAATTTTTCTATTCACGTTTTCAACTTGCATTCATTAAGAATGGGATTAGTGTAAATTAATCGTACTTGACTCGAAGTTTTATACATCTTCGTCGAGTTGAAACGTGATGACGTTAATTCAATGAAAAAGAACATCCATCTTTTTTGGCCACCATCAAGGTTGGTTTTCAAGCGATATTCTCTGCAAGTGATTGACAACTGCCAAACCAAAACGAAACAGGAAAAAAAGTGTCATTTAATTCTATTTTGTAACATCGTCGGTCCATCGTTATGTGAGCCGCATCTTCGCACATTGTGAGAGATAGAAATATGTGGTGAAGAAGATTTAATCCGCTAATAAATAAGCCAGCAAAAACAACCGGTATACTGCTTAAAATTCAATCCCACGAGGGAGAGGACGTTGGCAAAAAAGTCATTTTACCGCCAAAGAAATTTATTCTTTAATCGATTTTTTAGCTGTTTTGCATAAAAATGCTCTTATTCTCTCATTTTGTTGCCCTTCTTCTTATATAAGTTGCACGCAAGTTAAGTGGAGCGAACTTACAAACGATTAGTGAAAAGTGTTTTCCAATGGAAAAACGTTACGAGAAGGAAAAAAACAACGACAACAACCAAGAGACTGACACATTTACCTTTTTCGGCAATTCTATTTCGGCGCACTCGGAAAATCCATTGCCGCATCAAAGTTCGTTGTGGAATGAGCGGGCGACCGACCGACCAACCATCTATCTCTGTTCTGCACTTAGACACAAATAAGACAATCGATGGAGTAAAAGCGTCGATGCAAGCCTCAGTCAAGTTGACATGTTTGCCCGTTTTCGATAGCGGCATAAATAATTTATTCGGCCCATCGAAATAAGTATCGTACCGTCACGAAGTTTCATTTTGTATGCACTCTGTATCGTTTGGCATATCCCAAATGGTATGATATTGGGCCTAAGTGTTAAAGACTGTCACCTCAACTCTGCACAAACTAATTACGGGCTCGGGCATTTCTCGATTCGTTTGCACTTTCCACGGTTTTTGTTTTCTTGTTTCGAATTTAGACAAAAAGTTGATGGAGCTGAAGATGCGACGAATTTATTTTTTGTCTGCAAAATTTTTATTTGGTTTTCTCGAAATGTTCTAAAATTCGAACAAATTCTAGTCAAATTAGATAGCATACTGTGGCAAATTAATGCTATTTACATAGCTGCCACAGTCTTAATTTGCTTGCTTTTCTTTTTCTAAGTAATGCGTTTGTTCAATGATTGTTTTAAAATTTGAAAAAAATATTTTGTAAATTAAATGAGTTAATCGAATCAAGTCATTAGTTTGGCTTGAAGAAAAGTCACAATGTGTGGATGCAGGAGTGAAGTAAAAGTAAGTAAGTAACGAAAAACGATGGCCAGACGGAGAATTTTTAGTTAGCACCACTTACATGGAGAGGAGGACGGACAGACGGAAGGATAGTGCAAACGTAGCTCTTTTGCACTGGTCGAGAAAAAAATGCTTCTTTTCAAGATTGGTCATATTGAATTGAAGGTAATTTTTTTCTATATAGCAAACATTTTCTTTTGTTTACGAAATATAAAACTTGTTTCCATGTCTTCGTTGTTTTTTTTAATTAACTTTTCTGGTATCGGACTAACCTGTCTGTACTAGCCATTTTCCTTGTTCACATCGAGGGAGTGTGAGAAGGAGAGAGCGAACATAAACACAAACATTTTTGCAAGTAAATTAAAATCGACGTTTTGTACTTACCTTTGCTCTCGCAGGATACCTAGCTTGTTGTAATTTTCGCAACGGAATGGAAGTTTTTTGGCCTGTGTTTGTTGGAGAGCTAGAGAAATGGAGGGGGGGGCGCCCAGAAGGAGAGAAAAAAATTTAATGAACCTGTAAATACTTTTTGTTTGCTGGAGACTTTTCTATTTTTCAGTGGATATTTTTAAAAGAAAGCGCAAAATAAGTGAAATAATTTTTTGTTTCTACATTTTCTCGTATTAAATAAACTGCGCGTTTCTGACAATTTTTCAGCCACAAACATCGTAGCCACCAGTATTTGCACTTATTATAGTGTCGATTGCAGTTTTTGCTGTTAGTATTAAAATAGAAACCATATTCACTGGTTTTTTCCTACTTTGGCTTAACATGAAAATATTTGAATTCACAATTTGTATTTAAATAACCAACGACTGCTTCTATCTATGGCAGTGTAACAATATTGGATGTGTTGCACACTGCCATATTCCAAAATCGATGCGTCTGTATTTTTTTCATTTTAGTTACGATTTTTTCCCTATAATTTTTATCTATATATTTGTTTACATGAGAACAAGGAGTATTCATTGTTGTTTTGGCCATTTTGGTGTGAGAAATAGAATGGAGCATTTTTGTTTGTTTGGTGTTTCAATTTGCGGACTATTGTTGATGGACTATGGCAGTTCATCCTCATTCATTTTGCGTTAGAGCACATTTGACTGCCGGTTTTGGTTGTTTTATTATGGGAAGCTAAAGTGGGCTTCAATTTACAAATAATAACAATAACCGTAACATACATGCACTATGTGAAGAATCAAATAGAGAATGAAAGAAGCGAGAGAGAGAGAGAGAGAGAGGGAAAAAATCCACCACACTATGCTATTCAATTCTATTTCCTATGAATTGGAAATATGTTTTGAGGCTTAATGTTTTCCTCATTCGTTTACAACACTCTCACTCTTTGCATTTACTCGTCTATTTTCGTTTTTTTTCTCTTGCTCTCCCGGTAACATGCTAAAAGCACGTATACATTTTCTGTTGGCTATTTGGTTTTATCTTTTTAACACCTCACCGTTCAATTTACACATATATAGTGACGATGAAAATGGAATTTGGTACGAATTTCAAGTTCTTTGCAATCGAGATTACACCAACAACAACAAAAACGCAAAAGTCATTGAATTTGTTTAAAACTGAAACAAAAACTTTGGAGAAACAACGCATTCGGATATATGCGCATGCAATAGGATGGACCACGAATGCTGTTACACAGATGTATTAGTCCAAATTGTATGCATGTCGAACAGTCGTTTTGTCACGTTCTCAGCGCATGAATCTTTTTTTGGCATTACAAAGCAAACACGTGAACCAGAGAAACAGAGAGAAAAAAATGTGTAAAAAAAGAGCACATCGACAATACAACAGGAAAGAAAAAATAAAATGACAATAATAGCGACAATAGCTCGCAATAATCTCGCCCATGTTCTAGAAAAAAAAGGCAATTCAAGACCAGAAATAACAGTGTGTGATAATCGAAATGGCAACCATAAAAACACACACACATACACATCGAAAGCATGCTAGTTTTCTGCTTTGTGCAAATCGTCCCAAAAATGGAACACAATGAATGGTGTGAGAAGCAAAAACCGAGGCAGACGAAATAATAATAAAAATCGTCCCTTCTGTATTGAACAGAAATGGAATTCGAAGCATCTCATTAATATAAGGATGTCGTTAACGCCAAACTAGTTCGTTTCTAGAACTCTACGGTTTCGTTCACATTCCACATATATCCAAGATCGATGCATTAGCCCTTTGCAAAAATTGCTTATTATGCGGAACTTCATCCTCACTCCGTACGATTTAATTAATTTTCCCCATTTTATTGCACATATTAGACTATTTTCAATTTCACTCTTTCCCTCAATCAGCTCTATTACCGTATGTGGCCATTCAGCCACAACCAAATATTTCCAGTAAACACACGATATTAATCTTATTGAAAAATTTCTCCCATTCCGCGGCCACACTCCTCCTCCCGTTTGCTCTCATTCTTTGCTTCTTGTATGCATTTAATAAAACTTTGCACACAAACTAAATCCCTCCATTTGCTTTGCTATGAACTAAATACTAATAATAATATTTCCAATTTTTAGTGTTCGGTTTCTCGATCAACCACAATGGACGGGAACATTGAGAATATGGAGCAAATAATCTCTCAGTAAGCCGACCAAATGTGCGTGAAATCGTAACTTTTTACGAAAAAAAAACGTTGAAATTTATTTCTTATAAATGACAGTTATTTGTAGAAAAGAACGAACGATTGAAACCCACACACACACACAGACATACGCTATTGAATTTTACAATGAGAAAGAAAATCACTCTCATAAAACCGATTTTAATTTTATTATTATTTCCAAAATGTATGTTTTTATTATTTCTTTTTCTCTTGTAATTTTTTCGTTCATTCATTTTTTCTAGCTTGAGCCGCACAGTCTCACTTGTAGTTTGTCGCTCCTGTCGTGACATTCCCCCATGAATATCGTCGTTTTCTTCAATTTCTTGAGGGTATTTTATAAGAGCTTTACTTTTTTAAATTCCGTCTCTCGTTCACGCGGATTAATTACGGTGACTGCATTCGTGTGGCTATTGTTTCCGAATATGTTTTCCATTTGAACTATGGACACCTTTCAAAAACTCACACATACTCTTTACACGCCAACACACCAACGACGACAACAAATTCCCATATTTATTATTCGCGGCAAGATTATTGCTGTGTGTCGGGTTGATTGAGACAGAAAGAGAGGGAGAGAGAGAGGACCGAAATATTCGAAGTGAATGCATGCACGAAAATGTGGTATTTGTGATTACATTCAAACAAAGCGAATATGAGAATGAGAATGAGAACGAGAAGTGAATATATTTGATTCGGCTTAAATCCTTTTGCCTCTACTCTTCATCGACACCTTCCATTCCATTCGATCCATTATTCAGGCGAACAATGGAAGCGGTCCCATTATTATTCCACAGAACATCCTGACTTTTATCTGACACTTTGGATGGAAAATAAGTCAATGCAATGGAAAGGTTTCTGGGCAATATAATAATCATCCGAACGACAAATATTGAGAAATGAAGAACCCAGCGTTGTGCCGCGTGTGCACACCACCACTATAGGTGCGACTCTCACTGAGTGAGAGTAAGATTAATCCACTTTGTGGCCAAAACTAATGTGTTTTCGTTTGCAATCTATTATTTGCATACAATTTGACAAATTTGGAATACTTTCTTCTCGTTTAAATTACGATAAATGCACTGTAGATAAATGTTCGGGCACGCACATATTATTTGGAATTTCAACCAGAAAAAGTTTTAACGGTGTCAAAATAACCATTCACAGCCAGAGGGTGTTATGAGCTGATGTCAGCTGTTGACGAGCATGCGTTGCGTTGTTTTAACGCATTTGCAGGATAAAATTCGTATTCCTTGGTACCAAATCAAGTTTCATTTCAAATTTAACCTGGCACCCAGAAAACAATGCAATGCATACTCGTCAGCAGCTGATATCAGCAGTTGACGTTAGTTAGTGCTGCTGACATCAGCTCATAACACGCTCTTTTCACAGCGTAACAAATTAAAAATAAAAAGAAGAAATAAAACTCAAACAAATTGTGTGTGCGTGTATTCGCTATGAAGATGAGTCTGGTAAAATCGTCTCTGTCTATCTACGTGCTTCATCACTGATCGTAGTAAAATTCTATTGTGAAACACTTGCATGTGCACTGTGCAGTATTTCTCTTTAGTAAATGATCCAGACCGTTTTTTTTTCTTTATCTCATCTCTCAAATCATCAGAAATTCACGAAAACGATTTTTTCACAATCATAAATTTAAAATTACATGAGAGAGATAAAAAAAGGCACAATGGATAATGGGCCATTTCGATTGACAAATGCTTTGCGGAGTGCTCATGTCATTGCGCCCATCATTTTATGATGATTGCGTGTGTAATGTGCTTGCCTGTTTCAACAAATCGTCGAATGCCGCGAGATAGAGAGAGAGAAAGAGATATGGAGGCTTCAAATTTGTCTACCGATTTAAATTCAGTACGTGGTGTTCAATGGGAGGCGCAACGTTAAAATCATGCACGACCTGCAAGAAAATGTTTTTAATTGAATTCTTTTCTTTAAATCGATCGAAACGGAATGCTAAATCTCTCAAAATACAAACACATAACGTCTTGGACGACGACGACGACGTCGTCATTGCCTTCGTTGTCGATATTTCCTGAATGAGTTTTAATATCAATCGGTACTCTCTTGTATAGTTGATGAAAACCTGAAGTTATTTACACTTATTGAGGCCTTGTCCTCACCAAGATGTGCGTGCTCATCACACGTATTATATGCGGTATTTCATTGTTATTTCGATGAATAAAAAAAAGTACACAGACCAAACGAAAGAACAAAAAATCCTATTTCTGTGCATGAATCGTTCATTTCATGTATATTGAATACGTTCGGGTTTTCTTCTTTCTTTCTTTTTATCTCTTTCTCTCCTGATTCGAACGTTCTCTGTCATTTCTATTCCTTGCCCTTGTCTGCGGCATTCTTTCAGATTATCTGAATAGCATTGCGTAACTTTCTTTAGTCGTTTTGATTGAAATTATCCAAAAAGGTATTTAGTGTGAAATCACTTTTCTAAGACAACGGCAGACGGCCCAATGAATGAGACTGGAAAACTTCGACTCAACAACAACAAGAACAACAATAACAACAACAATAAATGCAGACCTCAACAAACAACGAGAGCATCGTGCAACGGATGAGAAAATATTTAACTGATTTCAATTTAGAGACTTGTTGACGTGCATACAAAGCGCATTTGTTATACAAACAAAACGGCGTTCGTTTGAAAACAGCGGTTCCCTTTCGATTCATGATTTGTTCACTAAGTAGATCAGTGCATCTGCTTTAATTGTTTGTAACCATTGCAATCGTGATGATTATCATCCATTTATCTGATCATCGATATTCATGGAGAAATTGTTTTACGCGTATTCAAAGCAATTTCTGGA